GCGATACTCAACAATACTGAATACGTTTGAAAAACTCAACATCAATGTGTCTTTCTAGAATCATGATCAGGTTACTCAAGGTCATCCATAGAGCTTGTTTTAACATTTTCTTGTGGGAACTATTTTCTTTCTACCGAACTACACCCACCAAGAAGCTGGTTCTCATCTCGGGAAACAGGCATTGTTGTTTGGTTTAGCAAGTTTCTCTTGCCTTCTAGTTTCAATACATCAAAGAGAAGGCACATATCTCCAACAGTCTGCATCCCAACAAACAATCTAAATTGATAAATAGCAATAATAATAAATACATGTTTTATTTCTGGTAGAGCGCCATGGGAGTCATGCCATGAGTGACTTATATTTTTTACAAAACCCAAGCTCATTGTATTTGTCTCATTTTAGGGAATGAATATCCTCATCATTATTTGCGTCTACCTTAATGTAGGGACATGCTGTACAAGGCGGTAAATGCTTAGGAATAATATAATGTTTGAAAAAGTCAAGGTCATTTGTTACACTAAAAATATATAACTTAGATATCTGGCATGTTATTAACTTCTTGGTCCCCCTAGTGTTAGATTTCACCAATCCCAAAATCATGTCATCAAAGAACTGTGTATAGAGAGTTGATGTTGGATTCTGGTGTGTGTGTGTGTGTGTGTGTGTGTGTGTGTGTGTGTGTGTGTGTGTGTGTGTGTGTGTGTGTGTGTGTGTGATTGAGGGTTAATCTCTCTGTCACATATATCATGTATCATCTGCCAAACTTGCATGAATAAAGTATTTCTCGGTTAGACAGAATCACAAATCTTTACCTTCATAATAAATAAAATATTAAAACACATGTAATACTGATGTTTGGTGTTCATTTTCAACACATTTGTAATAATGTTCGACATATATTTGACTTTGTGTGTAGAATAACTGTCGATCAAAAACTATTTCTAGATTATTTTGTAGAAAAAAAATATGTTTAAAATAGATTTGTGTGTGTGTGTGTGTGTGTGTGTGTTGTGTGTGTGTGTGTGTGTGTGTGTGTGTGTCTGTGTGTGTGTGTGTGTGTGTGTGTGTGCGCATGTGTGTGTGTGTGTGTGTGTGTGTTCTCACCAGGTGTACTTCCAGCTGACGTCCTCCAGGTGGAGGTGTGGGTCGTTGGGCATGTGCTTCTTTATCCAGGCCCAGCAGTGGACCTGCTGGTCTGTGGGAGACACGATGAAGAAGCTGCAGAGGGGACAACATGGGAGTTCTTTTTGAATGAATAACCTTTATTTAATCACAGGTAAGCACTTGAGGGTTATCTCTCTTCCACAGACATAATGATGCAGATGATAATGTAACATTTATCATCTGCAAAACCTCCATGAATAACGTTTTTTTAACTTGAGTATTTCTCGATTCTCAAGAATAAGTTCAACTATGTGCAATATATACATTATATACCATTAATAACTGTGTAATATATACATTATATACCATTAATAACTGTGTAATATATACATTATATACCATTAATAACTGTGTAATATATACATTATATACCATTAATAACTGTGCAATATATACATTATATACCATTAATAACTGTGTAATATATACATTATATACCATTAATAACTGTGTAATATATACATTATATACCATTAATAACTGTGTAATATATACATTATATACCATTAATAACTGTGTAATATATACATTATATACCATTAATAACTGTGTAATATATACATTATATACCATTAATAACTGTGTAATATATACATTATATACCATTAATAACTGTGTAATATATACATTATATACCATTAATAACTGTGTATATATACATTATATACCATTAATAACTGTGTAATATATACCTGGCTGCTAAAAAGAACTGTTACAGGATTTGTATTTTGAAAAGTATTTACTTTTTATTTTATTATATCATAACTTAGTAGTTTTTTTTAACAAATGTAACATTAAGCTGTCTGTAGCTCTTTCGTGCCGTAACGATGCACATGTCCCCTCTGTGGGACCAATAAAGGTATTCTGATTCTGAACAGACTCACACCTTCAAAATAAAATATAGTACAATAGTACATGTAATGCTGATGTTTGGCATTCATTTTCAACACGTGTAATAATGCTCGACATATCTTTGACTTGGTGTGTAGAATTTCTTTCTGTCCACCAGCAGCTACATCTAGGTCATTTTGTAGAAAACACTATTTATTCAAATAGATTTTCTGAAGGTGTGAATCAAATTCTGAATCTTTAAAGACAAGAATCAAAATGTTCAACTGTTCTCCGTTCCCACGTTATTACGTCTTCAGAGAGGATGACTAACATGGCAGCTGGATTTCAGGTCACAGATTAATGTCCTTAGTCCCCCTCACCTGTTCTTGCTGACGCGCACCACGCTGCAGTCGTTCTCGTAGCCCCCCCGCTCGTTCAGCATGCCGGTGTGGACGATGTGTCCCACGGGGACGTCCAGGTCGTTGGCGCACAGGTGCTGCAGCAGATCCAGAGCCTGGTCGTTGGTGGACTGAAACATCAGGGCAGAAAAGAGTCTTTAATCACTTCATCATTACATCACTCAGCATCTAAAATACATAACTGCTGCATCAGGGGTTACAACATTACAACAATGGCATCATCTGGTGATTTGAAAACTTTTGGGCTATGCTCAGGCACATGGAAACACTCACTGGGCGTGGCAAAATGAGCAATGCATGGGGAAAATACAGTTGCAAGAAAAAGTATGTGAACCCTTTGGATTCTCCACACATAGCGTTGTGTGTTCCTTCCAAACAACTCAACGTTGGTTTCATCGGTCCACAGAATATGTTGCCAGTAGTGCTGTGGAACATCCAGGTGCTCTTTTGCAAACTTCAAACGTGCAGCAATGTTGTTTCTGGACAGCAGTGGTGTCCTCCGTGGTGTCCTCCCATGAACTCCATTCTTGTTCAGTGTTTTACGTATCGTAGATTCGTCAACAGAGATGTTAGCATGTGCCAGAGATTTCTTTAAGTCTCTAGCTGACACTCTAGGATTCTTCTTCACCTCATTGAGCATCCTGCGCTGTGCTCTTGCAGTCATCTTTACAGGACGGCCACTCCTAGGGAGAGTAGCAACAGTGCTGAACTTTCTCCATGTATAGACAATGTGTCTTACCGTGGACTGATGAACATGAAGGCTTTCAGAGATACTTTTGTAACCCTTTCCAGCTTTATGCAAGTCAACAATTCTTAATCGTAGGTCTTCTGAGAGCTCTTTTGTGCGAGGCATGGTTCACATCTGGCAATGCTTCTTAAGAATAGCAAATTCAAAACTGGTGTGTATTTTTTATAGGGCAGGGCAGCTTTAACCAACACCTCCAATCTCGTCTCATTGATTGGACTCCAGGTTGGCTGACTCCTGATAGCTCTTGAAGAAGTCTTTAGCCTAGGGGTTTCCACCCTGCACTGTGAATGTTTACATGGTGTGTTCAATAAAAACATGAAAACATATAATTGTTTGTGTGGTATTAGTTTAAGCAGACTGTGTTTGTCTATTGTTGTGACTTAGATGAAGATCAGAACACATTTTATGACCAACTTATGCAGAAATCCAGATCATTCCAAAGGGTTCACATACTTTTTCTTGCAACTGTACATGCTTAACACAAGAGGGAAGTGCAGCTGCAGTATTTACAAGTAGAGCTGAAAAGATTATTTAAAAATGTGTGAACTGACGGAAAGTTGAAAATGCTCAGCCTCTCAAATATGCAGATTTCCTGGTGATTAACATAAAATCAAGCATAAAAAGTCCTTTTACTTAAGGGTTTAAGGAGAGCCCAAAAGCCTTGCAACACACTGGAAGTATGGTTTATTAAATGATATTATCACACTTCATGAGTGATTCAAATATTGGGGATAAGAGTAGTGGACATTATAAAGTAAAAACCTAAATCATTTTATTGTTAAAAGTACATTTAGATATGCTACTTTTTAAAGTTGTTAATCATATTCAAGTTGATATATTTGGGTTTTGAACTGTAAAAGAAGATAATTAAAGTCATTAACTTGGACTTCAAACATGGATGGACGTGTTTTCGGATGTCCTGGCCTTTAATAGACCAGATAGTTAACCTATTAAATAATCTGCAGATGAATGGATAATGGAAGTGCGTATCAGACGCAGCGCTTATTATAAATTGTCCATCGTGACTCACACTCAGTTCAAACTTGGTGAAGGAGGACATGTCGATGACGCAGACGGCCTCTTTGCAGCATTTCACTTCTGATCCGACGATGTCGAACCAGTCGGGCTTGTAGAAGGTTTTACTCTGATCCAGAGACAGCAGATCTGCACACACAATGGTTCTATTTCAACAAATCACTAAAGAGTTAAAGGTCCCCTATCATTCTGTTTTTCATCAATATATTACAGGTCTCAGATATATACAGAGCCTGTCTCTGATTGGCTGAAACACCAAACAGATCATTGCAGCATCCCATAATCCCCTCTGTTTCAGCCCTGTTTCCAAAGTGCTGATTCTCTGTCTGTTACTTTAGATGAAAAATAAGGAGCCCCTTCCCACGCCCCTCTGAGAGAGATTTGGTCACAAAGAACTCAATGGTGCTCTAGGAGGAGATTCAGGTGATAAGGGGGGGGGGGGTTACCTTGGTTGCTGATTGGCTAATGGTTACACAAGACAAAACATCGTTATGACATCATAAAGTGGCCAAAATCTGATCAGCTCATTTTCAGACAGGTTTTTAAAGAAATGGATCAAAAAGAGAGAGAATCTTTGTTCCTGAAACTTTCAGAGTCTCTTTCCACAGAGGGGACACATGTTGATGTAGAAGAGACATGAAGAAGAGGGGACACATGTTGATGTAGAAGAGACATGAAGAAGAGGGGACACATGTTGATGTAGAAGAGACATGAAGAAGAGGGGACACATGTTGATGTAGAAGAGACATGAAGAAGAGGGGACACATGTTGATGTGGAAGAGACATGAAGAAGAGGGGACACATGTTGATGTAGAAGAGACATGAAGAAGAGGGGACACATGTTGATGTAGAAGAGACATGGAGAAGAGGGGACACATGTTGATGTAGAAGAGACGTGAAGAAGAGGGGACACATGTTGATGTAGAAGAGACATGAAGAAGAGGGGACACATGTTGATGTAGAAGAGACATGAAGAAGAGGGGACACATGTTGATGTAGAAGAGACATGGAGAAGAGGGGACACATGTTGATGTAGAAGAGACATGAAGAAGAGGGGACACATGTTGATGTAGAAGAGACATGAAGAAGAGGGGACACATGTTGATGTAGAAGAGACGTGAAGAAGATGGGACACATGTTGATGTAGAAGAGACATGAAGAAGTGGAGTTTGCATAATAGGTGACCTTTAAGGATGAAGAGACTGAGTGAGTTCCTGGTGAGTACCTTTTCCATGAGGTACAAAGTACTTGGTCCTTTCAAATCCGTGCTTCTCCATCCAGCGAGCCCCCTGTGTGTCCAGGCGGTCGTACAGAGGACTCGTCCGCAGCTGACGGCCAGTCTGGAAGTCCCAGCGAGGAACCTTCAGCTCGTACAGCAGGGCTACACACACGCACGCACACACACACACACACACACACACACACACACCACACACACACACACACACACACACACACACACACACACACACACACACACACACACACACACACACACACACACACACACACACCACACACACACACACACACACACACACACACACACACACACACACACACACACACACACACACACACACACACACACACACACACACACACACACACACACACAAGAATATGTTAAACCAAAAGAAGTACTGTCAAGAAAAAGTCAAGAAACATACATTTAAAAAAATACAATGAAAAAAATAGTATTGTTCAAGGTTAAAGTGTTTTAAGCACAGTGTGTCCCAGCTGAGCTGAGGACTGTACATTTAGAAGACACCCACTTGTTTTGTTAGACCGTGACATAACATATCTTCCACTGAACTTTCAGTATTGCTTTAAGGTGTAGTCAACAAAAAAAATGATATTAAGAGTTCAGTACTCACGCATGACCTCCATGACCCGGTGTCTCAGGAAGGTGCGGCTGCTCTGCAGGTTTCCAAAGCGCTTGATGTCCAGCGGCCAGACGTTAGCGGTGGGGTAACCGTACGTCATCCACTCCGCCAGATACCTGAGACCAACACACACCGTTACTGCTTCATGGTGGTCAGATGGCAAAAGTAACACTTCCTTTACTCAAGTAGAAGTACAGATACTCGTGTTTAAACATACTCCGGTAAAAGTAGAAGTACTGACTAAACTTCTTTACTCAAGTAAAAGTAAAAAAGGCTTTGAAATGTACTTCAGTAAAAAGTACCCATAACTAGCAGCTGTTTTAAAGAGTACCTGTCGTGGCCCATTCTTGTGGGATATCGAAAACTGTGCCACGTCAACAGTAACAAAGTATTTGTCCACTACTTCCCACCTCTGATGGTGGTGCATTTGAAACATGCAGATTACAAAGCTGATGGATGAAATTGCTAAACTAAGGCTGAATTGTAGCGGCCTCCACACTGCCTGCTTTTAAATCACTTCTTAAAACCCACCTCTTCTCCTGAGCGTTTTGACATCTTGTAGATTCTTGCTTTTAAATTGTCTATTGTTTTTACTTGTACTTGTTCTATGGTGTGTGAGCTGAGCTGTGTGTTTTTTGTATGTTTGTTTATTTATTTGACTGTACAGCACAGTCTGGAGCATTTAAAATGCTTTATAAATAAAGCTGTATTGTATTTAATTATTTTCTTATTATTAGTAATACATGTTTTATGAAGAGCTTGAAGAGTTTGATATGGTTTCTCCTCACACATGTAGCAAATGTACGTATTCCCTTGCTTACTTTCCAGCTCCTCCAGCGAAGGCGAGTCCGGAGGAGTTCATCCCGGCCAGCACGAAGTACCCCGAGATCCCCGGCGTCTCCCCCATCAGGCAGCGCATGTCGGGGGTGAAGGACTCGGGGCAGTTCACCAGCTGATGGATCTCAGCCGACTCCAGACTCGGCATCCGCCTCAGCAACGCACTGAGCATCGGCTCTGTAGGGAGGACGCAGGAGACGGTTTTATAATAATCTCTTACCCACTGGTTTACCACATTAAGGCTAATTATTATTAATAATGTTCTATAATAACGTGCAATTACATATCTGCCACTACTAAGTACTGTTAATATGTACTTAATTATGTGACTGTCTATGTTACTTGTAGATATTGAATTGCTCTTTTTACAGCAACAGCCAAAGCAAGTACGATGCCTACAGAAAGCCACACGATGACACCGGAACCACGCACTCCGTCATGTTGTTTCCATAGCAACAACAACTTCCTGTCAACAGCGTAAACTCGCTTTCAAAATAAAAGCATCTAAATAACACAGGAAGTTAAACTAAATTACATTAAGACATACAACTGCAACAAAATTAACAAAAACAATGTAATATCCTTTTCAGTTTCACAGAACACAAATTGTACTACAATACGATGGCTACACGACGGCATTGCGAGGGTTTCACGTAGTCGTGTTGCTTTCCTAAGACAAGTCTGTGATCGGAGCATCCCTAGTATTTTAGATGTTTTATTATTTCCACAAGTCTGAAAGAAGAGATAAAAAAACCTCCTCCTGGGTCCTATATTTTATTGTATTTCATTTAAAAATATTTTATTTTACTATATTTTAGAGGGAGAACACAATATTTTGTCCGTAAGATTGTATAATACCCTCTGTCCCATTGGTTTCTCATATTAAAGCATATACTTTTTGTATATTTTGTGACATTTGATGTTTAAATGTGAAATGTAAGCATTATCTAATGGTCATTTTTGATCAAATTAAATTAGATACAGATAAACTATAGGTTACTTACGTAACCCCAGTTCTCAGAGTAACATGAAGTGAGATGTCTCACTATGGGATGCGCCTCATCGCGGAGCAAACAGAAGCATCAATCTCATTACGCCAATCCTGATTGGCTGGTGATCTTGACGTCAGCGTCAGGGAATTCACCCCCTATAAGTAGCTTGCGCCACGACGCATGCGTCATTCAAAATAAGCACCTCTTCTCACTTCACCATAGCAAGGAGGGCCGTCTGGTGAGACATCTCACTTCATGTTACTCTGAGAACTGGGGTTACGTAAGTAACCTATAGTTCTCATTCATAACACTCCGTTCGATGTCTCACTATGGGAAATTGTAGCTCCCGTATTGTCAGACGAGCTTATCTCGAAAATCACCAAACCAACCAGAATTTAACAGGTAGAGCTCTGACTCAACCAGGTACCCAGCACTGCTTGAGTCACACTGGGAGCAGAACGTCCAGCCTGTTAAGAGGCGGACAAAAGTGAGCGGCGAGGACCAGCTCGCCGCTGCACCAATGTCTTGGATGGGAGACATCCTGGACAGAGCCCAGGATGCAGCCAGACCCTGAGTCGAAAGAGCTCGCGGACCCGAGGGTGCCTGCGAACTCTGACTCGTATGAGCCCCAAAGCAATTGCTTCCACAAACCAGTGGGAGAGCCGTTGCTTAGTAACAGGCTTGCCCTTATAAGGGTTAGCCCAGGACACAAGGGGTTGGTCATTATGACAAAGCACCCTTGATCTGTCCCTGTACGTGCGTAAAGCACGGGCTAGACACGGCAAATCCGGCCGCTGTTCCCCGGAGGAATACAGTGGCGGGGAGGATGCCTCAATGTCAAATGTGGTACCTGAACCAACCGCCTTAAGATAAAGGCAGGGTTGGGCTTCAACCACACTCTGTTTGCCCTGGGGCGAACTGAGTGCATGAAGACTGTACAGATAGTCACCCCTACCCTCATCCACCTTCACTGGCTCCCGGTCAAGTCACACATCCAGTACAAACTCCTCCTGCTAACTTACAAATCTCTCCACTCCCTAGCCCCTCCATACATCTCTGACCTCCTTCAGCCCTACACCCCCTCTCGTCACCTGCGGTCCTCTGACAAAGGGCTGCTCTCCATCCAGCGCTCCAAGCTGAAAACATTTGGCAACAGAGCCTTCAGTGTCGCAGCCCCCACCCTCTGGAATTCTCTCCCCTGTGCAATCAGGAATGCAGACACTCTGGACACCTTCAAAAAACACCTCAAACACCATCTGTTCACTCAGGCCTTTGGCCTCAACTAATATACAGTACTCAGCAACCTGTTCCTGTTTTTGTTTTCTTCAGCCTATGTATCTTTATTATTACTTTTTGTTGTGTTACTTCCCATTGTAAAGCGTCCTTGGGTTTCGTGAAAGGCGCTATATAAATTGAAATTATTATTATTATTATTATAGTGCATGAGTGCCACTGGCTCGCTTGGCAGCTGCCAGGGTCAGCTTCATGTCACACTGTATTCAGATTGTACCACTCACGGGCCAGGCCCATAGAGCCAAGCGCTCTGGGTGTGCGTGAAAGATCGCCCCCCCCTGCTTGGGACAGTATGTCCCTGCGTAGTGGGAGCTGCCATGGCTGCCCGCACAGCAGCTGATATATCTCCGCTAGCCAGTACATAGCTGGCCAGTGCGGAGCTATCAGGATAAGTGTGTGGCGTTGCTCTCTCACTCTGGCCAGAGTTGGGGGTATCAAAGCCAGGGGTGGGAACGCGTACAGAAGGCCCGGGGGGCAATCGTGCGCGAGTGCATCCACGCCTAACGGTGCATTTAGATCGCGCATCGAAAAGAACAGCTGACACTGAGCGTTGTCTTTCGATGCGAACAGATCCACCGCGGCTCTGCCGTAACACACCCACAGCTGGCTCACAATCCTTGGATGTAGAGTCCAGTCTGCATAAAGTGGTATACCTCTGGACAGTAGATCTGCCCCGAGGTTCATCACTCCCGGTACATGCGTCGCTCTCAGAGAGAGGAGACGTCTACCGCTCCATAGGATCAGTTTGTGCGCCAGTGTGTGTAACTGGAGAGAACGCAAACCCCCTTGGCGGTTAATATACGATATTGTGGTCGTATTGTCTGTCCTCACGAGGACGTGATGTCCCCTGAGGAAAGGCAGAAAGTGTTTTAGGGTGAGAAACACCGCTAAAAGCTCCAGGTAATTTATGTGCGCCCGCTGGAGGTCTCTGCTCCAGAGACCCCTCACCGGGCGACATTCATAAATACCTCCCCAACCTGTCAGACATGCGTCCGTGGTGACCACTTTCCGTGAAAGGACAGCACCCATAGGCACACCTCGTACTAGAAAAGTCGGGTGCAGCCAGTGGCGCAGTGCCATTATGCATTTCACAGTAACCATCACTCTTTAGGGCGGCCACCCAGCGCTGAAACTCCCTCATGTGTAAGCGTCCCAGTCGTACGACCAGGATGGCTGACGCCATGAGCCCCAGCAATCGCAGGCATGATCTGAAGAGAACATGTTTGCGCAGCTGGAAAAGAGCGAGACAAGCTCTGAAAGCTTTCACTCTTTCCGCTGACAAGCGAGCTGAAAAGGGCACCGAGTTCAGGCGTAAACCCAGGAAGAGTATAGTCTGCGCGGGGCACAACATGCTCTTCTCTGTGTTTATTATGAAACCCAGGTTGAGCAGGTGCTTTACGAGGACATTTGTCTGCGTAACAGCCTCCTGCTCAGACTGTGCGAAAAGCAGCCAGTCGTCCAGGTAGGTCGCCAGGCGAATACCCTGTTGTCTTAACGGGGCTATCGCGGCTTCCGTACATCGTACAAACACCCTTGGACTGAGAGACAGACCGAAGGGGAGTACTCTGTATTCATAACAGATTCCCTGAAATGCGAATCTCAGATATTTCCTGTGTGGGTAATATACTGGGATGTGAAAATACGCATCTTTCAGGTCGACTGATGTAAACCAGTCGTCTTGTCGCACGAGCCGCAGCAGAGATGTGTGAGTGAGCATTCTGAACTTATATCTTTTTAGATATTTGTTCAGAGCCCTCAAATCAAGTATTGGCCGAATTCCGTTCCCTCCCCGTTTGGGAACGAGGAAGTACTTGGAATAGAAGCCGCCCTGACTCTGCTCGGCGGGTACAATAGATATAGCCCTCTTTTCTAGGAGTGAGAGAATCTCTCTCTCCAGAATATGGGCTGACTCTCCTCGGGCCTGCGAATGCAGAATGCCCGAGAAGCGAGGGGGGATGACAGCGAATTGGAGTCTGTAGCCCCGTGTTACTGTCTTGAAAACCCAAGCAGATGATGTGAGCATCTTCCATGCTCCTTAGAGCCAGTGGAGATGTCACGTCTCTTCCCCTCTGAGTCTCTATTTGTTGTGTTATGGGGCCCTCTAGTGTCTGAACACAGTGGTGCCCCTTTTCGACAATCCCCACCGACACTGCGCATGCGCATGACGGTGGTGCCTTCACAACCCCAGCCGGCACTGCGCATGCGCGTGACGGTGGTGCCTTTAAAGCCCCAGCCGGCACTGCGCATGCGCGTGGCGGTGGTGCCTTCACAGACCCGCCTGTAATCCGCCTTTTGAGAGATGCCGTAGCTGCTCTCAGAAGGGGAACAGTTGACGGGCTGTTTATTGGTTTTATTGTTTTTCTTTTCATTTTTTGGAGCTGCGCCCTCGGCCTGAAGCCTGGATGCGTCAGCGGCAAATGTTTTATGACAGAAAAATCAACAAATGTGTGACATGTGTTTGTGCGGACTTGAGGATGGTGTTGAGGCATCTCTTGAGGCGGCGGGAACACATTTAGAGCTGGAGAACCGTGGACTTCCAGCTCTGTCACAGAGGGGAGAAGGAGGGGCTGTCACGCCGCTCGCTTCTTCTTCCTCGACTGCTGGCCGAAATTCTGGGTTGGCTGCGCCTGAGCTGCAGCCGGAGATTTTCTAGGCCAGCTCGCCCTCGTCTCCAGCCTGGGCTGGGGACTCGGGGCGGGCTGCGACCTCTGCATCTTCGGTGTTTTAAACCGAGCAGGGTTCGAGGCAGCTTGGGCGAAGGACTGCTGCTGCGATGGACTGCTGCTGCGAAGGACTGCTGCTGCGAAGGACTGCTGCTGCGAAGGCAGCGGCTGGACCCTTCGAGGGAGGCAGAGGTGGAGTGCCTCGTCCTCCTTCTTTTTCGACTCACACCTCCTTTGCATGGAGGCGAGAGCGGAGCCGGAAATTCCCTCGGGAACGATGGGCATATCCAGCACATCCGCCTTTTCCCGGTCTGGGAGGTTGGTGAGGTTGAGCCATCTCGCTCTTTCCTGCACCACCATGATCCCCATTGCCTTGCCCGTGGCCTGGACGGCGCAGCGTTGGACACGGAGACAAATGTCCGTGGCCATCTCGTCCAGAGTGGCTGCCCCCGGGTTACCCGACAGGTCCTCGCAGAGCTCCGCTTGGTAAGCGGTTAGCAGCGAGGACACATTCAGGGCCCTGGCGGACAACGCTGCGGCTTTGTAGGACCGTTCAGTCATTGTCGACTGAAATCGGTCCGACTTTGCTGGCAGCGTGGGGTTCCTGCTTGGTGACGGGCCCATCCTCGGTAGGAGGTGGGCCGCTACCAGCGGTTCCATGGGCGGTATGCAGAGCAGGCCGAGCTTCTCCATTCCGTCACAGTCTAGGGAGGAGGCACCCTGGATTGGGACCTTGTTGCTGAAGGGCCGGTCTCTCCACGAGACCGACACCTCATCCAACATCTCCGGGAAGACCGGAAGGAGTTGTCTCTTTGTCCGCGCTGCTTGGGGAAAATGTTTCCCTTCGTAGCGGGACCTGGAGGTCTCCTTGGCCATTTCAGGCCACGGGATGTCGAGTCTGGCCGCGGCGCGTTTACACACGGCCTGCAGGTCCATACTCAGACAGGGCGAAGCTGGTGTGCTATCGCCCGGGAGAGCAGCCCTCGCTCCAGGCTTTGCAGGCTGAGCCGATGACATGAAGATGTCCTCTTCATGTTCATCCGACTCGGACAGGAGGAACACCGAGGCGTCCTCTTCGTCCTCATCGTAGTCCAGCTCGAGGACATCCTCCGCGGGTGAGACCATGGTGAGGTCTAACCGGGAGCCCCAGCTCGGTAAAGCGTGGGGTCCCGTTCCCGCGTGTCTTGCCGTCACCGGGTCCCGGTCTGCCAGGGCGCGGGATTCCGGTTCTGCAGCCATCGCAGATAATGAGCCCCAGACCGACACGGAGAGGGGTTCACTCTCTGCGGCGGACGCCCCCATGTCTTGACTGCCGGCCGGCAGGTCAGTGGACATGGGGGGGGGGTCCTGCTCCGACAGGCTAGCTTGGCGTGCTAGCCGTCGGCGGAGGCTCTTCACGGTGAAGCGGACACAATGTCCGCACGAGCCGGGGTTGTCGATAGCGCCTCGGGCGTGTTCCAGCCCGAGGCAGGACGAGCAGACCTGGTGTGTGTCTGTGCCCGAGATCTTCAACCCGCCACCGCAGAGTCGAGCCACCGAGTCCCTGACTCCTCTGGTGTGAGGGAGAGAGGCGTCCATCTTGTTCGCCTCGTGGCGTGGAGAGGACGCGCTCTCAACAGGTAAGTTGGGAAAAAAAGGTGTTGCCACCCTGTCCTTAATCCGGAGGAAAAGGACGGTGTGGGTCTTTTATTCCCGGAGAATACTGACTGGTGTGACAGTATGCTCCTTTAATCCTTTCCTCCTCCGTGGGGAAGAGAAAAGAAAAGCTTCTTCGCTACCGTGGTGTCGATAGTGAGGGAGCGAGCTAGCAACAGGTGTGTTGCTAGCTTGAAAAAAATCAGACCTCCCTTACTTTCCGGGGAAAGAGAACGGCGAGGTCGATTTCAATACTAACTGGCGTTAGTATTACCGTCTTCCTGCAAAGCAGAAGGAGTAGCCGGCGAGCGCCCGTCGACCGAAATGGTTATATTTGGGTTCAGTCTGTGGACCGTTAAGCTTGTCCGGCTACTATAGAGATGTGCTCTGAAGCGAGAAGAGGTGTTTGAATGACGCATGCGTCGTGGCGCAAGCTACTTATAGGGGGTGAATTCCCTGACGCTGACGTCAAGATCACCAGCCAATCACGATTGGCGTAATGAGATTGATGCTTCTGTTTGCTCCGCGATGAGGCGCATCCCAATAGTGAGACATCGAACGGAGTGTTATGAATGAGAACAGAGTTAGTTAAAAAATAATTTAAAAAATGTGTATTTTAGATGTTTTTCTTATTTCCACAAATCTGAAAGAAGACATTTAAATAAAAGACAAAACATTTCCCAAGTAGATTTGTGTAATACTGTTCAACTTTTGTTTGAATATGCAACTATTGAGGCACTCTCTTATGAATGTCCGAATTCAGCGAGAAATGTGAAAATTGGATAAAGCCAGATTTATAATTCTTGATTCATGTTGTCAGGTTTTCACAGAGGGGTTTTGGGATATCTCTTTGGAACAGGACTGCCCCATTTGTCCATGTTGTGGTAAAAACAATCCAGCAGGTTTTCCAACATGCGAGCTGACACAGAGGTTTGAGTGATTATTAATAACTTTACTTCACTCTGTGCTCAACTTCAGGACCGCCTGGTGATATACGGCTTTCTTTACGACACAACGTCAAGCTGCACGAGTAATCTCAGATTACTGAGTCAAGGCCAAAAGACAGGTGTGTGTGTGTGTGTGTGTGTGTGTGTTTACTTATGTGAGATCTATTTTTAACTGACATTGCTAACAAGATTAACAGCATGACTTAAACTCTTCCAAGACTACAGAACTGACCAAGACAGGTTTTTCTTAACTCAACTTTTCTGCATATTTTCCTTGAACAAGACTAGTTTTCCTATTTTGTATAGTATTATTTCATATTTTAAAATGTAATCTATCTACTATTCTATATTAATGTTGTTTGATTTTAATTTAATCTTCTCACACTATGTTTGTATAATGCAACAATACACCAAAGCATAGTTGTAGGAGCCAATTAACTGGGTATAAAGGTAGGAACCTATGTGTGTTGGGGAGAGGTTCCGCCGGAAGGCCCATACAGTTTTTGACCACACACACAAGGAGCACACACACACGGAACACACACACAAGGAGCACACACGGAGCACACACGGAGAACACACACACGGAACACACACACACGGAACACGCACACACGGAGAACACACACAGAGAACACACACACAAGGAGCACACACGGAGAACACACACGGAGAACACACACACAAGGAGCACAAACGGAGAACACACACACGGAGCACACACACACACAAACACGGGATTACAAGCAAAGCAAAGGTATTGTGTAAACGGTAATATCGTGTGGTGAATATGGAAAGAAGCAAGTACATGGAAACCAGTAAAATGGAAATAAATGGACTGTTTCAAACTGGAAACTTTGTTTCTGACCTTTATTCGGCAGCAAAATTGTGTGCGTCAATTACACCCACCAAGCGGATCCTCAGAGGCTTAAAGCGTTGGCTTAGCCTCCACACATAGTCGCTGATTGAGAAAAAAACGTCTTATGATTCTAAAAAGGAAAGACGTACTCTCTAATTAATTTGGACATTTTGGGATAAAACTGCATATGTTTGATGAACTCATTTGATTCCCTATCATTATGCAAAACCACTGTCAGTCCATCAACATCTATGTAAGTCCTCCGCCTGTCAATAAGTTGAATATAAGTAAAAAATTGAGAGCCTACGCCAAAGATTTCATTATCTAATACTGGGTGGTGGTGGTCTAATGCAAAGTGAGGAGGGCTGGAGATCGGAAGGTTGCGAGTTCAAATCCCACCTGGAACACCACCACTAGTGTGCCCTTGAGTAAGGCACTTAGCCCTTAGTTACTCCGGGGGGAATGTCCCTGTAATTGGTCATTGTAAGTCGCTTTGGATAAAAGCGTCAGCTAAATGAAAAGTAATGTAATAACACTAAATGATGCCCATTGTAACTTTAAAGCCATCTCCCTCCCTCCATATTTTTAGTTGATTACATCCATTTCTTCCTCTCTTCATTACTTCATCTCGTTACATTACCGAAGTGGTCCCAGTCCTCCTGCATGTTCTGGATCTCCAGCTGGTTTCGGCCCTCAGTGAAAATGGGTTTGGGGTTTTTCTCAAAGCCCCCCGACAGAACGCCGCCCTGCCAGGGCCGCGCATAGATCCGTCCGTCCATATCCATCAGCACTGGAGACAAGAAACGGGGCTTTTAATCTCATGCAACGGCCAAAAGCATGCAGATAAATGTGCTTCACAGGGAATATTATCAACCTCTGATCGATCTCTGATTTATGCTAATGCCTAGCACGAACAGTCAAAGTTGGACCTTGTTCTTGACATTTCAAATGTAGTCATAACACACAAATGCAACGGCCAAAAGCATACAGATAAATGTACGTTTTCGGGAAATATTATAGATTTTCCATGTTCGGGGTGTATTATCAATCTACTAAAGAGAACTAGGATCTGTCATGAGAGGAAAAGAAATAGGAAGATGATGAAAATGTTACTTAACATTCATTATACGTGATTTATGTTCTACTATCCATTCTTTATCTTCAACATTTACACTTTATTAACGAAATGCAGAAAAAAAATGTCCTCTGATTTATTCTTATGCCGAGCACTTATAGTCAAAGTTTGACCTTATTCTGGACATTTCAAATGTCTTCTGGAGATTCAAATACGTGTTGTTTAAACTATCTTAACACACAAATTCACCTTGTTTCACTAAGTGTTAAGTCTTAAAGAGATAACAAGGAAGCTGGGAGATGTTATAATCTGCAATGGGTAACTCCAGTCAATTTGTCAAAAAAACAACTAATTATTTAGCAAAACAGTGATTGGAATTGAAAATCCCGTAGCAAATGTGCCTGAAAAGTTCATTTAAGTTTGAGTGTTCAGACCTGGTGTGTCGGGGGGGAGAGGGTCCTGCAGAGGTTTGGTGAGGAGGTAGAATTGTTCACAGCCATGAAGAGGAATCGAAACCTTCATCTCACTCGCCTGACCCAGCTCGTACGCCCACTGCAGACAAACAACAATATATCTTTATAGGGCCCTGAACACAGGTGCATTATGCCTCATATCTTAGACACTGCAATCTGCCCTGTCAGTTGATTTACTGGTATAGTTTTAATGTGAACAATGCAGGTGAGAATCAGAACAGAACGCAGGGCTGGGGAAATTCAACAACGTCTAAAATAAGTGTCTTTGTTGGCGTGTTGTTGGACAAAGCACATTCAACAGAAAACAAGCTGCAGCTAAATAAACTTTACTTAAAATACTCTAACATTTTTAAATATGAATGGAGAACCAACAATTAGAAATGGCCTTCGATAAAAACTGCTATGCGCAAACACACGAAGCAAAGGCATCCCAGCGGTTCCTATTTACTATAGGGAAGTAAAACAATAGAGTAATCGACTAATGGACAAAAATTACCCTAACCCCTAACCCTAATGATTAGACTACTTGATAATAGGGATGGGAATTTGAAAGCAAATGTATATTTGAATATTTCGGTTAACCGAAATATAAATCCTATATAAAAAAAAAAATTCAAAAAATGTGTTTCCAAACATTTTTTTACAATAATTTTTGGAAATAAATAAATAAATACATGTTCAAATAAGTGTAGGAACCAAGTCGAATTTGTCAAATGTATTGAACTGGTGATCACAGTTTGACAGCCTACAGCTTTCATGTGCAGAGGCGATTCACAATCAGCCCAGCTGTAGAGAAGACCCTCTCAGCTGGAATGGAGGTTGCGGGTATAGCAAGGTATAGTATGTATATAAGTTTAATTTGGCATAGTTTGACCTCTACACCGCACTCACTAACCTGGCCGAAATATTTCCACACATTACTCCTTTTTGACGCCATGTCTGTTGTGTAGGACTCTTCTTAGAGTGTAAATAATTACTGGACTATGACTGGTAAAATATGTTGAATACCGGCAAAACTAAATCTCTCCTGTCAAAATGTCTCTGTACTTTGCTGCCACACACGGTTGCCAAGCAGCGCTTATTGTTGTTTAGGCTGGCCACTCATGTGTCGCGAGTGTTGACAGGGGGCGGGGGAGCACGCTCATGAACTGTTAGCGCCGGAACCTCGCAATTAAAAAAAAAATGAATAACTCATATTCGAATACCTGAATAATTTCGAATATTCTAATAATCGTTCCCATCCCTACTTGATAACAATAAACCCCCTAAAGCCCTGGCAAGATTTATGTGGGATTAAGGCGTCCATAAAGGGACTTCCTTAATGCCTTCAAAAGTTGTCCCCCATTAATTCCCTTATGTCCCTTTGCACTGGAACTAATGCCCCCATGTTTTTATTTTGTACCTGTCCAGCACAGTTGACAAAGAATTCACACTCGATGGAGCCCCGATCCGTCTCCACCGCCGTCACCTGACCCTTCTCCACCAGAACCTGCTGCACGGTGGTCCGCTCCAGGATCTGGACCCCTGCGGAGCAAACAGAAAGACATCAAGGAGAGGAGACAACAGGAGGTCTACCCCTCGGTCTCCTCCCAGCTGGACGTGCCTGGAACACCTCCCTAGGGAGGCGCCCAGGTGGCATCCTAACTAGGTGCCCGAACCACCTCAACTGGCTCCTTTCGACGCGAAGGAGGAGCGGCTCAACTCCGAGTCCCTCCCGGATGACCGAACTTCTCACCTTATCCCTAATGGAGACGCCCGCCACCCTGCGGAGAAAACCCATCTCGGCCGCTTGTATCCGCGATCTCGTTCTTTCGGTCATTATTATATTAATAATAATATAATTAAATTAAAATAAATTAAAACAATAATAGTAAAGTAAAATGTCCAATAAAAGAATACATAGAAAACACATGTATATAACATTATGCAACATGTATATAACAATATATACAGTGGAGTTTACTTGTGAAACACTTTCTGTTTGACTCTCATAAGTCATTCTCTCACCGTATCCAGCAGCAGCTACAGCCAGGGCGTGGTTGATGTCAGGCGGAGAAACCACAGCGTCTCCAGGCAGGTGCAGCGCCCCCACCAGGTCATGAATGTTGACATGAGGGTGGAGCTTAGCCACCTCTTTAGGCTTGATGACGTTACAGCTGATCCCCATGACCCTGAGAATAGAGGGAGAACGGAAATATGAACACTTAATACTTTAAAAGGCTCTGCACTTCCAACCTGGTTCCGAATCGGAGATGTGGACAGTGTAGGATCAGCATATCAAATAGCATCCAAAAGACTGAAAGCTGCTATTATTTTACCTTTGATGTTAAGACAAATACATTCAGCTCATTGAGTAGAGGTCATTTTCTACCAGCAATGCATTTGTCCAGTAAAAGAATAAAACGTAATCTTGCAGGATTAAACCACCACAAGGCAAAAAGGTCAGAATCAAATCCTTAGTCAATACAATCATGTTTGGGGTGCTAAGCTAATTTTGTAGAGCAGGCGGCCAATAAACCGAATCCAGCCTGGGATCATTTATCTCATGCCTGCCCCTTTCTTTCTGAGTCTCTCTCTAAACTCTCTGAAAAAACATAATTTGCGTCTACAGTTGAAATTGGTGCCGACTAAAATGTCCTTGTGCAGTTACACAGAGCTTGAGCAGTATATTTAGAATGCAAAGCGGCCTCATCCACAGGAAGTAGACACTGCCAAAAGTATCTCGAGTACATATTGAGGTTTTAGGCTGCTTACTTTAGTCGGGATGCCAGGCGCTTCAGAGAGAGGAAGCGGTCCTGATTTTGGGCCAGACACAGAGAGCCTGTCTTCACATAACCTGAAACACACAACAAAAACCAAACCACATATTACTTGATTCAGTAGGTATCAAACTTAAATACCCACTCAGAGAGAGAAATGCTAAAATGAACTTAAGGGAAGTGTCATTCTAGCATTCAAGCCCTACACATACAGAAAGTGTTTTGGAAAGTCACGTCACACAATGTCTCGGAGCTCTTTAAGAAATGGTGAACGCCTAATGCAAATGTAGCTGTGGGTTTGCAGTGTTTGCTCCATTGACTGAAAAGCAGGATTCACTTCACACCTCTTTATCCCCTAGAGCAGGGGTTCCAAATGGGGGTGTTGGGAAAATACTGAATGTCCTCTCCCAATATCAGAGTAACATGATAACAAAGGTATTCCAACTGTAGCTGTGAACATGACAGGATGTGTGATTACCTAGAAGAGCATCAGGACTGTTTGAGGCATATGATAGCTATGTGATTAACATGATGATTCAGCCTCTATGGAGAGAGACATCAAGCATGCTCATTTCTGACGTGGAGCTTGTGAACCCTGATCTTCAGGAATAAGTAATGAGTCAAATATGAGCCAAAGTTAACACATGTGAAAGGTTCCGACCTGTTTTGACCCCGGTCTCCTCCTCCAGCCCCTTGTAGAGACCATTGGAGTAGTTTGCCATTTGACACTCGATGGAAATAGGCTTGGCCACGCTGACAATGCCGGCACACAGTCGGGTTGTTCCTGCACCGAGTCTGACAACATATCAGAATCAGCATACCTTTATTCCTCCCACAGAGGGGACATTTAGATTTGTTATAGCAGAAAAGAGCCACAAACAGCTTAAATATTAACTAAGAAGCATGCATACAAAAATGTAAAAAATTACACAATGTGCATAACACATATTTGTAACAGTTTTGAAGATATAGCAGCCAGGTATATATTGCACAGTTGTTAACGGCACATATATATATATTGCATATTAACAGCACAGACAGTAGGCCTACAGCATTAGAAGAATACCCAATCAACCAAATAGTTTGCATGCAGCTCAAGCCCCGCCCCCCTACCCCCTTTCGAGACATCCCCAAAAAGTCAGACAAGTATTAAAATAATAACGTGTATTTGTATCTGTATGTATAACAAAAATGCATGTGCATGTGTGCTGAAAAACACAACTGTGTGTATTTGTATGCATCTATATAACATATATTGACATATATATTCTCTGTAGAAGCTTTTAAAAAACTCCTGAAGACCTATCTTTTGACATTGGCTTTTGTTTCTACTTGAGATGTGTGTGATGTGTTCTGTTCTTGTGTCTGTTCCTCTCAGGACTCTACGACGTGGTCTGTGTTTTTATGTTGACCTTAATGTCTGCCTCATGTTGTATTCATGTTTCTGTAGTCTTCATTTTAACTTTTGTTCTTTCTTGTGAATTATATTTCTGTGAAAGGTGCTTTACTAAATAAACGTATTATTATTATTATTATTATAAGAAGCATGTGCATGTATAGAAAAACAGAGTGGAAAACTGATTGAAAACAATAAAGCTCAATTTTCTATCTTCTTCAGATAAATCCCAGTAATCTCACCTGCCCTGCTCCAGCAGCACGATATCAGTCCAGCCCAGTTTGGCCAGGTGGAAGGCTACAGACGAGCCCACGATGCCACCCCCACAGATCACCACCCGGGCCTGGCTGGGCAGCGGCAGCAGCGTGGAGTCCCCCCCCACAGCCAGGCTTGGCGGGGAGGTCCAGAGGCCCCGGCTGGCCAGCCTGTAGCCCGTCTGAGGGAGCAGCCGAGCGGGGCGCAGCACGGGGGACAGAGCCCTGGAGCTCCGCACACAGCTGCACATCGCTGTGCCGTCTGCAAACACTTGTAAAGCATTCAATTATTCAATGTCAACACAACAAACGTCACATAAACAAATTAGTTAGTGCTATCTTCAGAATCAGACTACATGTATTCGTCCCACAGAGGGGAAATGTACATTGTTATAGCAAAAGTAAAGCGCCAAAAATAGCTAAATATTAATTAAAAGGCATGCATATAATATTCATGGTCAAAATTGAATTTACAAAAATACACATCCAGGATGACAAGAAAAAGTACCAGTAACAGTATGTATAATGTGGTATGATAGCAGCCAGGTAACAGTAGTACAAGTTATTAACATATGTATTACAGTAGTTGAATTATCTAACTAAGAAATACCAGCCAGTAATAATAATAATTATTATTATTTTAAAGTGGTAAATATATATATTGCACATAAGTGATATTGCACCACAGAGGTGTTATAGTGTGTGTTATATGTGTGGTGGTCAGATGTGGAAGAAGTACTCACTTAAGTAAAAGGTAAAAATACTATGGTCTTAAGATACTACTTAAAAGTAAAAGTCATGATTTTGACTTAAGTAAAAGTATAAGCTTAAAGATGTATTTCAAGTACAAAAAGTAAAAGTACTCATTATGCAGAATGTATCTCTTCACAGTATTACATTATCAATGTGTGTCAATGTTGACCAAATGTAGATACTTGAAATACTATGTACATTAGTACAGTACTGCATTATACAATATCACCATATAATGTGTTTGTATATATGTAAAAACTAACTAGTTACTGTGAGTGTCAAATACATGTAGTGGAGTAAAAGTACAATATTTGCCTCTGAAATGTAGCAGAATAGAAGTATAAAGTAGCTTTAAATGGAAATACTCATAAGTACATAGGTACACGTCTTGAGTTAAATGTACTTCGTTACTGTCCACCACTGCGTCACAGTGTTGTTTATACAAGGTTGCATGAACATATCACTATCAGTCAGTGCTATCTTTATTTATTGCGTAGTTGTTTGCAAACTAACTAACTTAACGAATATATAACGATGCCAATTTCAGGTTAGCTCAACTAACGCAGACATTACATTTCAACACAAATGGGGCCTGTAAAGCCAGCAAGGTTAACTCAACAACAGTGGTGTCACAATTATATTACAGACTCAATATAGCTCTACATATAAGATTTCCTTTTAGCAGCAAAGCTAGCTTTAGCTCTGTAAATTATCCTACAACTGTATATTTAAGGTAAAGCACATACGCTGACCTTGTCATTCCGAAAGTTAGGTTAAACTTAGGTGACATTATGTGTATCTGTGTAGCTCCTATGGTTAAAGTTAGCGTTAGTGTTAACATGGATGTATAAGAGTGGTCGCTAGCATAGCTTATGCTAACGAGAAGCTACTGTTGATTATTTACCCAAGTAGCTAAACATAAACAGTTGGGAAAACATTCTCCCCACGGCAATTCCTTTTCTTTAAAATAATGACATAAAACTCACCGAATCAGACAAATCCAGACGTATCCTTAACACAGAAGTCAATAATAACTGTAATTAGACAGAAAGTCTTGTTATGGTACTGCAGTTATAACCTATACATCCATGGTTATAACCGATGTCAACTGCTACTTCCGGTCCAACCTTTCAAGATAAAACAATTCTGCCCACAAGTGGTTTTTTTTGCGTTGCAGTTGTATGTCATTATTAAACAGTGTTTTGTATTGACTGAACCTCATTACAATTAGAGGGATTTCTTAACTGGAGACAATAAATTCAGCTCATGCACCTGGGTAAGCTAAACATAATGTAGCCTCTTATACTGTAGTTGACAGTCAGTGAGAGAAAGTAAAGTTCATTAATTACTTGTTTTACTGTCCACTACAATGTTATTGCATGACTGTAATTACTGGTTACCTTGCAGATGAATATTTAAAAAACCATAACGATGATATAAGGGGATAAACATGTACACATATGAAACACATTTATCTTAAACCAAAAACAAGTATCGTTATGGCTGAATAAAAAGTAACGTTTATTTTTGTAGCGACCCTGTATGGGTGCTGGGTGTGTCACTCAAGCATCCCCTGTGACCTGTAACCAAGGGCGCCGGAAGCGGGGGGGCCAGGGGGCCATAGGCCCCCCCACTTTTCAGCCCTGCCCCACATTTTCGCAGTAGCAGATTTTTTTTTTTTTTTTTTTTTTAAATCTTTATTTCGAACAGATTAAAAAATAACAAATAAAAAATGTGAAAAACAGAATATCGTATTGTTATAATACAGTATTTATCCACATTCATGGTAATATTTGTATATTCAACAAAGAAAACTAAAAAAAGTCTTCATATTAATAATAAATCATATGTGTCCGAAAGGGAGCAGGAGGAAGCAAATGCTTATTAATTCCCACCCCTTACTTGATCAATGATTGTCCTTTAAATCATTATGCAAGTTATTCCTACTTAGATTTACATTTATACATATATATACAATAATTTCTCATCTTCAATCACCTTTCTTCCTTCTCATATGTTTCCAAAAAAGTGTTTCTGTACATCCTTTTAAACTGAATTATGCTTGTGCTTTGTTTTAACTCCTGCTCCAAACCATTCCATAAAATCACCCCACAGATTGTTATACTCATACTTCTCAGAGTTGAGAAAACTAGGGCCACCAGGGTGGGTGGGGGGGGTCCGGAGGACGGGTCTGGGCTGACAACCCAAGAGCACCGCGGAGGACCCGGAAGGGATCTCGGGCGGACGGCCCGGGGGCAAGGCAGAAGCCGAGAAGGGGGACTCGGGCGGACGGCCCGGGGGCAAGACAGAGTCCAAGGTGGGGGTTATGGAGGGGCGAAGGCCACCGCGGGCGAACTCAGGGGGCCGAGCATGAGTGCGAGGGCCGCGGCCGGGAAAGTCAGGGGGGCTCGAGGGCGAAGGCCGTGGCTCTCAGGGGGCCGGGATCGAGGGTGAAGACTGCGGCTCTCAGAGGGCCAGGCTCGAGGGCGAAGACCAGACAGCTCCGGAGAACGGGCAGGAAGGCGCTGACGGGACAGCGCCGGAGGCCGGGCAGGACCCGGTGTCGGAGCTGGTGGGACAGGCCTCGGCAGGATCCCCCACGGAAGAGGACCAGGACACGGGATTGGCAGGACCCCCGGCAGGAGAGCAGTCGGCGGGACCTCCAACGGGACAGGACATAGGGTTGGCAGGACTCCCGGCAGGAGAGTAGACGGCGGGACCTCCAACGAGACAGGACAAAGGGTTGGCAGGACCCCCGGCAGGAGAGTAGTCGGCGGGACCTCCAACGAGACAGGACAAGGAGCTGGCAGGACCCCCGGCAGGAGAGTAGACGGCGGGACCTCCAACGGGACAGGACAAAGGGTTGGCAGGACCCCCAGCAGGAGAGTAGTCGGCGGGGCCTCCAACGGCACAGGACAAAGGGTTGGTAGGACCCCTGGCAGGTGAGTAGTCGGCGGGACCTCCAACGAGACAGGACAAGGAGCTGGCAGGACCCCCGGCAGGAGAGTAGACGGCGGGACCTCCAACGGGACAGACATACGATTGGTAGAACCCCCGGCAGAGGAGTAGTCGACGGGGCCTCCAACGGGAGAGGACTAGGGAATTGACTAGAGGAGGGACTTGAGTAGGGACTAGAGCTGGGACTAGAGGAGGGACTAGAGGAGGGACCAGAGAGGGGACTTGAGAAGAAACTGGAGAGGGGACTCGAGAGGAAACTTGAGATGGGACTTTGGCAGCTGGGGCCAGAGCTGGGTCTGGAACCATGGCCGCTGGGGCCAGAACTGGGTCTGGAACCATGGCTGCTGGGGCCAGAACTGGGTCTGGAATCATGGCTGTGTGGGCCGGTTCTGTAGCCGGAACCATGGCTGCTCGGGCTGCTAGCCTGGCCTTGCGACGACTCCTCTTAGCAGCCGCCTGAATACTCCGTGGACCTCCATAAGCCAGACGAGTTCCGGAATACAACTCCTGGACAGGAGCAGGAACTGGGGCAGAAGCACGGGTTGACTTCAGGCGGAACCCACCAAGGCGTATGGTGCCAGGTTGGGAATTGGGAGACATGGAGCTAGCATGCCTGGGGCTAGCAGGCCGGGAATCTGGTTTGACCTCAAAGCTGCCAAAAAAGTCCTCCACCCACTCGGGTAGCAACTCCCTCAACCAGGGCCTTGAGGTTACCTCCTGGCGTGCCGCAGAAAAAACGGACTGCCTCTCTTCACTACTGGAGGCATATTTAAAGTCATTCCTCAAACATGTCAAATTGTACTCCACCTCGTACAAACTGTCCGCTGGGTCCATTCTTGGTTACCTGCTTGTGTGAAGCAGGTAGGACCCAAATGCAGATTAACGTGAAAATTCCTTTATTTCAAGACTATACTAACAAAGACAGAACACAACACTCACCGAGGACAAGCCAAATCACAAGACGAACCAACACTGAACACAGGAAGAGAACAGACTAAATACAGAGAGGGGTAATCACAAGACGAGAAACAGCCGGGCAGGGGAGGAGAAACACAAGGGCCACAGGTGAACACAATCAGACAACTAGACACACCAGGGAAACTAACGACAGGAGGAAAAACACAGGGAAAAGGACCAGACAATATACAAGGAGGAAAACATGACAGGGAGAACAGCAAAACACCCAAAACAAGACATACAAAACGTGACATGACACAATAATCGTAACACTCTGTCTATGAACAATGTTTTTAATTTCCTAGGAAGTAGATTATGTCTGGCTCTGTACATGATTTGTGCCATTTTAAATTTAACCAGATCAATGAACTTCAATATGTGTGACTTCAAAAATAATACATTAGTGTGTTCAAGATATCCAACATTTTTGATAACTCTTATAGCCCTTTTTTGTAATGTGCATAACGGCTGTAGGGTGGTTTTGTACGTGTTTCCCCAAATCTCCACACAGTAAATCAGATATGGCAATATTAGTGTGTTATATAGAGTATACAATGAGTTATAGTCCAGAATGTATCTGGCTTTTCCCAATATTGCGATAGTTTTAGCCAGTTTTGCTTTTACTTGAGTGATATGAGGTTTCCAGCTGATTTTGTGGTCTAAAACCACACCAAGGAACTTCATTTCATATACAAAAAATATTTGTGTCATCTGCAAATAAAATACATTTCAATATATTTGATACTCTGCAAATGTTGTTGATGTATATTATGAACAGCTTTGGACCCAACACGGACCCCTGAGGTACTCCACAAGTTATGTTCATGTATTCTGATTTTTGTTCACCAATTTCAACAAATTGTTGTCTGTTGCTTCAATAATCTCTCACCCAGTTTAATCCCACCCCTCTGATGCCATACCGTTCCAGTTTTATCAGTAAAATATTGTGATCTATGGTGTCAAATGCTTTTTGTAAGTCTATAAATATTCCCACTGCTTGTTTTTTATTGTCCATGCAGTTTGCTCTTTCCTCACTTAATTCCATTAGTGCCATAGATGTTGATCTATCTTTCCTGAATTCATATTGACTGTCGTCCAAAAGCTGATGTGTTTCCATGAAACTGTGCCGCGGAAAACTGTACAAATCCCATTTCAATAATTCCCCTCTACTCTAAAGTCGCATCTAAAACGTGATCTGATCTAGCTGTGTATATTTTGTTATTTTGTATTGCTATATTCAATCTCACTAGCTACAGGCATGTTTGAAGCTTGTAAAGGGAAGATGACAGCTCTCGCCACTCTGCTGTTCCTCAGCGCCGCCCCCCCCCCCCCTCCCTCCCGCTGAAATTATGAATGTAAGGTGTATAGTAATCATAGATAACACGGCAGGGTCCGTTACAGTTTGTTTTGATCTGATTTCAAATAAGCAAAGTCTTGGCTTTCAGAATATTAAACTTGTTTCGGCAAATTCAGATGATAAATACAGCTTTGAAGCTTCGGCATAATTACAAGCGGAGAACGGAGTAATTTAACATCACAGCAGGCATAACAACAGCTGGTGTTTCTCGTGAGTGTTTTCCCCAGGAAACAAACACAATATACACAAACGCAAAAATACACAAACACACACATATACACGCGGCGCGGAACACTGTACAAATCCCGTTTCAATAATTCCCTTCTACTCTAAAGTCGCATCTAAAACGCGATCTGATCTAGCTGTGTATATTTTTTTATTTTTTATTGTTTAAGCTTGTAAAGGGAAGACCACAGCTCGCCTCTCACTCGCCACTCTGCTCTTCCGCAGCGCCGCTCCCCCTCCCTCCGGCTGAAATTATGAATGTAAGGCGTGAAGTAAAGATAACACGGCAGGGTCCGTTACAGTTTGTTTTCATCTAATTTCAAATAAACAAAGTCTTGGCTTTCAGAATATTAAACTTGTTTCGGCAAATTCAGATGATAAATACAATTTTGAAGCTTCGGCATAATTACAAGCGGAGAACGGAGTAGCTTAACGTCACAGCAGGCATAACAACAGCCGGTGTTTCTCGTGAGTGCAGTAATCCAAACGAAAATATCTTCCCTCCGTAGTATTTTGATCATTTGCTAATAATCAATCATGATGATTGATGATGAGAAATGATGGATTCCAGAGAAGAGAAAACTTTAAAGGCCTTTTTCTCAAAATGATGACTCTGTAACAGTCATTATATAATGTGACATATTTTGCTTAATATTTGGAGTACAAAAACAATCCTGATATCATTAGAAAGCTAGGAATCAAAATGTGTCTTCGGGTCAATGCGATTTCGATGGAGCAGCAGGTCACTTTGCATTAGGTAAAATAAAGCAGGCAGACATAACAGGAAGAATATGTCTATTTTAACCCAATCAAATAGGACATTGTCACACCATTCAAATGTATCCATGTAAATTACAACCAATAAAAAAGCTTAGATTTGTTTATTTGTTACGTTGTTTACTTTATTTGTTACGTTGTTCTGTGTGTGTCAGCCGTTAATCTAGAAATAATATATAGCTACACTTGCAAACATGTCAGAAGAACCAGAGCAGAAGAAAACTAAATACAGTCAATCTAAACTTAAATGTAACAACTGGAAGGTCACATCCCTGACATCCACATCTCCGGAGCCTGGACCTTCATCAATCATAGAAACAGCGAAGCCAGATGAACCCAAAAGCAGCACCTCTGCGGCCGCAGAAACTGTCAAAACCGCCGCCGCCCCCACCGCCGCCATCGTTGAACCGAAACAGGCTGGTTCCGACTGCATGGAGGTTTGTTGTTGGGACATTGAGGCGGGTAAAGCTGTACAGCTAACTGTCGGAAAAAAGGAGACCGCTAGTAGATTATTTGAGCAAAGAGAAAGGTAGCCATACTTCAACGCAGAATGGTACAAAAACAGAGAGTGGTTCATTCTTTGCAAAACCACTAAACGATAGTGATAAATTGCGATGTTAATATTTTTTTAACTTAGGATCATACCTGTGTTTAGTCTAGAAAAAGGTAAATGTGTGCATTTTATTATAAAGTTGTGTATATTTACAGACTATTGCAAAAACTAAGAAGCTTATAAACATCAGTTTTAAAACTAAAAGAGCTTTACAAAAAAGTAACACAATTAAAGATGTTTGGAGTTTTATTTGAGTTATATAAGTTATATACGTTTGTTGTCAAAGAGATGCTGATTTGAAACCGTTGTTAGGCCTACATACAGTTACGGCATTTCCTGTTTCTGCCGGAGAGAGGGGAGTTTGTCCCAAAGCTTGCTGCTGTATTTACTCCCTCCATCTGACAGGAGGGAGCCTCATGTGTCACTCCACGGAGTTCACTCCGTCACGGAGGGGGAGTGTGTAGGTCTAGGGCGTGGTTTGGGATTGGGCCAAACACACGCACTTTTTTTGCCCCCCCCCCACTTCTAAAATGAATCCGGCGCGCCTGCCTGTAACCTGTAACCTGTAACCTATCTGTATGCGATCAAATGAGTTATTACATCTAATAACTTGAAGCCTGTTTCCGACTCATGTTGTCGAACGTTACAATACTTTAAGTAGGCCTACAATTTCTTCATTAAACTTGCATATTTTTATATATAAAGTCTGTATTTTTGTAATGATGTATAACTATGTGTTTCTTTATACATCGATCTTTGCAACATCACGTAGACCCACATTTACTCCCGTTTTTGTGGTGCCTTGTACTTCTTTCTTTTTTTATCTTTTTCTTTTCTTTTCTGTGGGGGGCTACCTTTATATATACAGTCTATGGGGGCTACACACTATTTCAGGGGAGGAACAGTGAGTGAAAAATGAAATATTACATGAGTCATCAAGATTACACAAAATAGCCTTAATGTGCATGATTGGCTGACAAAATATAATTCAGTGATGCAGTCATTTTGGGGAATTTTCAAGTGTTTCCTAAGGAGATAAATTAAATAAATGCATGACAGAACTTTTTATGTATTTGATGCATCAAGGAAGTATGAAAAAACTGGAATATTATGCTATGCTCAATTGTTGGGTGTCTCCACTTCGAGCGATAGAACTATTAACGAAGCACTTATATACTAATAAAGGACTGGCTTATCTAAAGCCAGTTGAGTAGCACTTGAAATGTTTTTGCTCTATGAAACCTGATGTACTTATATGATTCTGTTTTCTTCAAGTTGTATTTTGTTGGTCGAACGCACTTATTGTAAGTCGCTTTGGATAAAAGCGTCAGCTAAATGCAATGTAATGTAATGTTTATGATCAAACAACAACATATTGATTATATATGCCTCTAGAAATTGAACGAAACTAAGCTAAGGACGGGTGAGGGGTCTCTTTCAGGGCTTTAAAAACCTCTGACCTTTGGTATGCAATATGCAATGTGCAGCTGTGCACAGGAGGACCACTGAGGGGCGCCAGAAGCCAGCTGGAGCAGGGGATTTCATTTTAAAATGTTAATATATCTCCTCCTGTTATCATAGGACTATCTTTATCTGCCAGTAGTTTTTATTCTGTGTTTATCTTTATGCATGCATACTCACAAGTGGCATCATTGTCTCTATTTTTGTTTACAAGTCACTTAAAAAAGTGCGATTTTAAGAAAAATAATTCAGTTTATAAATAGTGTATTTTCGGTGTGTATTTTATGTAAAATAAATGTAATATATAATTTACTTTATGATACAAATAATGTATAAAGTGTGTAATTTGTATTGTGTAATTACATTTATAGGGTATGTACTTATTTACATTTAATATGATAGTTTACCAGTTTAGAGTTGTTTAACATTGCAATAGAGGGCTATAGGTTTATATATAATTACAGTTGCTTTGTAGATGCAGTTATATGTCATTAATATGAACACATTATGGTATTACCATTGGGAAACATTTGTATTTTCTTGCTCTTCAGTTAATTTACACCTTTATTCAACCTCTAACTTACTGCAAAAAAAATGTTGATTCACAAAAACCAACACAACAGGAAAGGGAAATGCCCAAAAAGCATAGATAACCCCCGATACTGAAAATATATGAACAAAACGCCTCAAGACACATAATCAGTTGGTGCATAACAAGCCACAAAGGAAATAGTAAACTATTTTATTGACATTGTTAAATGCTATTTACAAGTTATCATAGTGGGCAACATTTCACACCATTATAATTTGAAGACAAATAATATAAAGTTTGTACACATCGGCATCCGGACACAACGACGATGCTCACTTGTAACATCAGTTTAGCACACAGATCAGAAAATGCAGAAAAAGTGCTGAGTATAAACTTCCATTTTAAAGAAGACATGTGTTGTATTAAACCTGCCTCAGTAGCCTTGTTTCAGTGTTTTGGCACAGTGATAAATCAGTGACTTCTAGTTGTGTTCTTTTTTTCACTTATTGACCACACATCACATACACTATACTTTACATTACTGCCGACATTACCCTAACCAAAATGCAACAACATGAAAAAAAAAAACACTGGTATTGTCCTTTGAAAAAGACTGCATTTTGCCACAAGATGGTAGCGTAGTAAAGATGTAAGAAGAGTTGGTCATTTGTACAGATGACCCAGGCCAGTAATGAATTTGGGAAATAAACGTCCTGAGATACGCCAATTCACTTTGATATTAAAGCTCTTAATTAAAATACTGTAATAGTGGGGAATTCATTTTGTGGGAGTTGAATGGTCAAATGTATTAATATAATTGTGTCTGCGCATCATAAGGATGTCGGTTTTTTCATTGTTAATAAGCTTATATTAACAATTTTAGAAAGATGTTTCAAATTGCTGATTTTAACTCATTGGTCTTATTCATTTTCAACTCTTGCCCAAACTTTAGAGAAAGATTGCACTCTTTGAGGCGGATAATATTTTGTCAAAAATGATTGAAAGACATGAAGCTGTCGGGAGATGGTCTTAGATTTTTTCCAATTATCGAAAATTAAAAAGAAAATGTACAATTATTTTATAACCAAATCATGCTTTGTAAAGTACTTCTTGTAGGAAACATTAAAACACTGCAAGGGACAAGTAAAAAAGTATAAATGACTAACTTAATTGAGAGAAAACATATCTTGCTAAATTGCGTTTAAAAAAAAATTGCAATATTTAAACCTTTGGCTTTTAGGGTCTGAAAAGAAATAAATGCAGTAAAAAAGTGCTTTAAAGCTGATCGTATAAGGACTTGGGTAGTTATTCGAATCAAACATGGTTATTTACCTGGTAGAGGTAGAACATCCCACTCCACTGACACATGCCTTCTTTATTTGAGCGACCACATCAAACAAGAGGTGGACGAAATACAGGAGACATTTCTACATTTCTCCTAGAGAGTTAATTTTCTTGAGAAAGTTTGATAAGTCAAGGCTAATCGATTGCATCATAATTATGAGGTATGGAAAAAATATGGCAATCATATCGTCTTCAGAGGCATACAATGAGAATCTTAGGCTTATTTTTTGGTAAATTACTGATTAGTACTTTGGTGACACCAAAATAAATAAATAACGCAACAAGAATGAGGGAGGTAACATGCTGTTCTCATAGCCTACTTGTAGCTTTACCTCCAAAAGTAATGTAGTTTGTGTATATCCCATGAAATCTATTTGAATGTATACCTTAATTACGAGCCAGAAAGTATTAAAACCAAGAGTTCTGCGTAGGGAGGAGGCCGGCACGGATGTATGGAGACAAGATTTTCACCAAGAAGAAAAATGTTTGTGTCCGATTTGACACAAGAGTAACTTATGTACTTTAGTAGTGACACTTCTGCAATTATTGTTGACTCTTTTGTCACGTAACTTTGCAAATTTGGTAAACCTGACGATTTTCCTAAACCTAGCCAAGAAATGTTGTAGCCTGAACCAAACCAAGTTGTTTCCTTAGTTTAAAAAGACTTAACTGAACGTTCATTGACACCGAGACACAAGGAAATAGTTTAATGTCAGTGGTGTAAACGTGTCAAGTAAAAAGTTATATGTTATGTTAATATTCATGAAATCAATTTGGATGTATTCCACCTATGGTTCTGCCTATTGTGACCCAAACATTGATTGTTACTTCCGTACTTTAGTTTCAACCACGCCGTAATTAGTTTCAACCCAAACAATGACTTATTTGTCCCGTAACTTTGCCTATTCGGTAGTTGCTTTATCCCAAATGTCACCTTTTCTTAAACTAAAACCAGAACTTATGAGGTCTAAAGCAAACCATGTTTCCTCTGAAATACCTGTAATGAGCGGAAATTGACACGTGTTGCTGGACATTCGTAGGAGAACGGACAAAAAAAGAAGGAATAACTTTTCTTGTATAAACATACAAACCATTGTATGAAGATACGTTGCAAAGACATCAGGAAATAGTTAAATGTCAGGGGCGTGAAGGAGCTAAACTTCGTTATGTTGGGTGAGGTCATCTGACATGCTGTTGTACTCGGTGGCCTTAGAGCTCATCTCCAGATACTGCTTCAGGAACTCGCTGAAACGTTTTTGGTTGTTCCACTTGCGCGCTGACTTGCGAATGCCGATGAAGCCGCCATACCTCTTCTGGTACGATCTTCCCGGAGACATCAGCTTCCGGTAGCCGTGTCTCCCTTTGACGAATCCTCCGAACCTCTTGGAGACACTCAGCCCTACGTCGCCTTGTCCTCTTGAGGCAGCAGCTCCTTCTTCTTGTCCCGCTTCCTCTTCATACTCATCCTCATTCTGGGAATTGAAGGCTGTGTTCAGAGGACCGTCATTTCCCCCCAGATCCCTCTCGTCCATCTCGAGCGCTCTTGTCACATGATCGTAACTCTGCAAGGCAAAGGGCAGCAGCAGATCTCCAGCCACCTGCTCCTCCTGTTCATCCTCCTCTGGAAACAGGGCCTCCGCCTCCTCCTGAGATCTTTTCCGTATGATACCGGTGAGGGAAGAAATAGGCGATGAAAGCACTTTACGACAGAAGTCCCAGGAGAAAGCCGGGGAGACGTTGGCTTCGCACTCAGTGAGACACACCTGACAGAGACAGAGACAAGAGAACGTCTTCATTTTGTCTCTACACAGAAAATAGGACACAGTGACAAACTCAATACTTTTAAGTAAGCAAAATGTCTAGAATAGAATCATACCTTCTGCGAAAGTTGTTTTTAATGAATGCATGTTCAATCAAACCGTGCAATGTTTAATATTTTGCAGCCGTGAGACACTGTTATGTCCTTTTCTTTGGTAATTCCTGGTCCAGTGTACCCTATGCTAAATCAGATAAGAAAGTTAGCATTAAAGCACTTTTAATTAAAGAATTTGGCTTCCGATTAGATATTTCAAGATCCGTATTTAATCAAAGAAGACTAGTCGACTGCAGCCTTTGATAACGGGGAGTTTGTCAATCTGGTTGTAAATCATTTTTAAAGAACAGACTGGTGTTTCCTTTCGCAACACCCAAGTAAGTTATTAGATGCCTGCTACCTAAATATGTCTGTCTGGAGAAAAAACAATCCCTAAATTGAACACACTGCGTCGTTACTCAATATATCTGATTAGCTCTGGTTGTTTGAGTGGAGGTTCATTAACTCTTTATATTACATTACATTACATTGCATTTAGCTGACGCTTTTGTCCAAAGCGACTTACAATAAGTACATTCGACCAGGAAGACACAAGAAACAGAATCATATAAGTACATCAGGTTTCATAGAGCCAAACATTTCAAGTGCTACTCAACTGGCTATAGGTAATCCAGTCCTTTATTAGTATAAAAGTGCTTCGTTAAAAGTTCTAACGCTCTTTACTCACATAATATCAAATTCAATATGACAGAAGGAGACTGCATTGTATTGACCTTAATTTACTGTTTCCACGAAGAAGACTAATCATGGAGGCTCTGGTGCGTTATTGATTTACAAGTAAAATGCTCTCCACTAAGGAAAGTGATGGAGATAAAGGAAAAGGAGAACATTGTGGCAAAATCAGAAGAAGAGAGGGACGGAAGACAGTAAGTCAATCGATGGCGTATTACAAATTGCCAAAAGAAAATGTCTTACAAAGGTCCTTTTAAATGTAAGGCCATGTGCTCTTAAGTGCAGACATGACATCATCCAGAGAGAAACAGCCAGCAGGAAGAACACACATCTGTCCCCAGGAATCAATTAGCCACAACAAATTAAAAACTCAAATGCAAAAGGGTAATGTGTTGAGTCAGGAAGGGATGAAAACAGGAAGGTGAGGAGTTGAGAGAGGGATTTTGGGTAATTGCGAGTTATGTGCCAGGATGTAATCTGTTTTTTTTCTGGATGGAGGATTTGCTCACCTAATTGGTTTTGCTCTTATTCCTTCTAGGTGGTAGCCTCAAATGTTTTCTGTTAAACTTTTATTATTCTGCCTTCAACTTTATGTCAAGTCAATTTGTTTTTCACGGGTAATATTTGTACACCAGAATATTACGACAAAAACAGGTTAAAAGTGCTGTTAAAGACACATTCCTACCCCTATGTTGTATAACTTTGAAATAATAGCATCAGAACATATTTTGCTATTATGAGGTGTAATTAATCATCTTCAGCGTATGGTTTCAGAATGGTTAAAAAATCAATAAAAAACAGGATATGGGTTCTGATTAAATTCTTTGGCCTTTTAAACCTATCATGTTTTTCTAAAATAATGTTTTTTGTGTGGCAATTTGAACAAAGAAACCCATATTACTCATATTAAAACATTGATGAAAGGGTCAACGCTGACAACAGGAACACAATCATGTTTTTTCTTAAATTATGACAAATTACTAAACAAGTGCAAATAACTAGCACAAGTGTGTGTGTGTGTGTGGTGTGTGTGTGTGTGTGTGTGTGTGTATGTGTGTGTGTGTGTGTGTGTGTGTGTGTGTGTGTGTGTGTGTGTGTGTGTGTGTGTGTGTGTGTGGCCTAGCATTACTATACTTGTGGGGACCTACATCTGTTTACATAGTCACGTGTGGGGACTCGCCTCCCTTATGGGGACAAAATGGAGGTCCCCATGAGGGGAATCATTAATTTTAGGGTGAAGACTTGGTTAGGATTAGGATTAGGGTTAGGGTAAGGTTAAGGGTCAGGTTAAGGGTTAGGGTTAGGCATGTGTTGGTTATGGTTAAGGTTCGGATAAGTCTCCAGGAAATGCATGAAAGTCAATGTAATGTCCCCTAAAGTGATGTATACATGGTGTGCGTGTGTGTGTGTCCTCACCAGCGTGTTGAAGGGCAGCTGTTTGGGCAGGATGTGGCTGCAGGACAGGCAGTCTGTCTGGCAGTCGCTGTGTGTGTGTGCAGGATCACACACTAACAGCAGCAGCAGAGCCACCAACGTCTTCATGGTCCGCTGCAAACACAGGACAAATACACACGTTCAGTATCACACACGTTCAGTATCACACACGTTCAGTATCACACACGTTCAGTATCACACACGTTCAGTATCACACACGTTCAGTATCACACACGTGTTCAGTATCACACACGTTCAGTATCACACACGTTCAGTATCACACACGTTCAGTATCACACACGTTCAGTATCACACACGTTCAGTATCACACACGTTCAGTATCACACACGTTCAGTATCACACACGTGTTCAGTATCACACACGTGTTCAGTATCACACACGTTCAGTATCACACACGTTTCAGTATCACACGTTCAGTATCACACACGTCAGTATCACACACGTTCAGTATCACACACGTTCAGTATCACACACGTTCAGTATCACACACGTCAGTATCATATCACACACGTTCAGTATCACACACGTTCAGTATCACACACGTTCAGTATCACACACGTTCAGTATCACACACGTGTTCAGTATCACACACGTTCAGTATCACACACGTTCAGTATCACACACGTTCAGTATCACACACGTTCAGTATCACACGTGTTCAGTATCACACGTGTTCAGTATCACACACGTTCAGTATCACACACGTTCAGTATCACACACGTTCAGTATCACACACGTGTTCAGTATCACACACGTTCAGTATCACACACGTGTTCAGTATCACACACGTGTTCAGTATCACACACGTGTTCAGTATCACACACGTTCAGTATCACACACGTTCAGTATCACACACGTTCAGTATCACACACGTTCAGTATCACACACGTTCAGTATCACACACGTTGTGAGTTTTCATTTGTTTTTTAGTTATGAATTAGCAATGGGATTTTTCCATTGGATTTTGACAACCATAAACGTATTAAACTGAACATTGACTCCCAGACGAGGGGACTGTAGTAGTGTTCATAATGTTGTTCGTCTGACATTGGGAAGAGGACAATGAGTAAGATAACCACAGGGGTTAGGGAGTGAAATTGAGGGGCAGAGAGACGGATTAAGAGCACACAAGATAGAAAAAGGTGACAAATAAACGTAGTGATTGAAAAAAAAGGTCAGGATTTTTTATTTTACTTTATTCTGGAAGAAACATCCCATGCCTGACGTCAGAAACACAACCAGAGTTTTCATCTCATTAAACAAACTCGTTAACTCCTCTAATTGACACCTCAATTAATGCCTCTGGCTACAAACTGAGTCATTGTTTGCTGCTGACAAACACACACACACACACACACACACACACACACACACACACACACACACACACACACACACACAAACACACACACTCAAAACCACATCCCACAAAACATCCACTGCGTTAATAAACCAAAGTTCAGTCACAAAAGCACAAAACAATACATGCATACTGTGTATTCCCACTATATAGTATATTGTTGGACACACTCATATACAAATTCACACACACACACACACACACACACACACACACACACACACACACACACACACACACAACACACACACACACCACACACACATACACACACACACACACACACCACACACACACACACACACACCTCTACGCTGATGTTTTAACAGTAGTTGGTCGTTATCTGATTAACAGACGTGGCTGAAAGTAAAACTAATTGGTCTTAAATAAAACACTTCATCATAATGCCTTGGAACTATTTAATTTATTCAGAGTAATTACAAACTGATAAAACCTAATTGCACTACAGTTCATCCCAGTATTAAACTACCCAAAGAACGTCAGCTCTGCAAAATTAATCAAAATTAATCAGTCTCTAGTTTGTGTGTGTGTGTGTGTGTGTGTGTGTGTGTGTGTGTGTGTGTGTGTGTGTGTGTGTGTGTGTGTGTGTGTGTGTGTGTGTGTGTGTGTGTGTGTGTGTGTGTGTTGTGTGTGTGTGTGTGTGTGTGGGTGTGTGTGTGTGTGTGTGTGTGTGTGTGTGTGTGTGTGTGTGTGTGTAGCCTACGTCAGGAAGAAGGACGGGTTGACAGTGAAGGACAAAAGAGCAGCGCAGCCATTTTAGATAGAGGACAGTTTAGGCAGATGAGATGGCAGATGGCGGTGGATTAAGACAAACAGCTCGTTTTCAAACCTCCTGTCATTGACTTTGGGCAGACTTCTAAAATTAGCCAACGTCATTAAGGCTAATGCGTGAAGGAGACTTCACATCTTTGTCTGATACCTGCTGACAGAAGAGTCATACAACATAGTTTTCCTTTATTAAGACATGAGTCAGGACAATTCAAGTAGAATGCTAACCTTCATACACTAAAACCATTGTGTCAGTCCATCTCTACATACATACTAGCTTTCATTTAAAATACTTCTGTGTCTCAGTTCAGATACATATACTACATATACACTACCATGTCGTCCATTGAGAGCACTTGTGCAGTTTGTTAAATATTAAACCGTGTAGCATTGTCACATATCCCCCACAGCTGCTGTTCCCTCACAGGAATGACGATGGCCGATGTTTGCTAGCTAGCTTGCAAATGTTATATTTTGCAGTCTCTCTTCTTATTCTTTCTTAGGACCATGTTTTACATTGTGAACACTTGCATACAGTAGTGTGTGAAATATGAGCATGTAGTGTTGTCTCAAATCGCACTGCTGTGACCACCGCTGTTTTCGTTTGAGGTACCAAATCGTTACAAACTGCCTAACAAGCCAATCAAATTGACAGTGGCTTATTTTCCAGTATAGTTTTTTTGTTTCTTAAATAGTCCTGCAATCACTGATGGTTGCGCAATCAGTTAACGTTGCCAAGATGGCGGTCAATGAGTATGAGAAGTGTTCCACGCACGACTTTTTCACCACTATGAGAGCAGTACCCGGGTACTAATATTGCATTTTTGCCGTACTTTGGATTGGGATGCATTTCTGTACTAAAACAACTAACCAAGTAACCAAGTAACCAAGTAACCAAGTATCCAAGTAACCAAGTAACCAAGTAACCCAGTAACCAAGTAACCAAGTAACCAAGTATCCAAGTAACCAAGTAACCAAGTAACCAAGTAACCAAGTAACCAAGTAACCAAGTAACCAAGTATTCAAGTAACCAAGTAACCAAGTAACCAAGTAACCAAGTAACCAAGTAACCAAGTATCCAAGTAACCAAGTAACCCAGTAACCAAGTAACCAAGTAACCAAGTAACCAAGTAACCAAGTAACCAAGTAACCAAGTAACCAAGTATCCAAGTAACCAAGTAACCAAGTTGTTTTGATTTGTTATTGCTTAATAATATGGCATAAGGATGTTAATTCCACTGAAGGAGAGACTTGATGTCAAATAGATGGAAAGAATGGCAATGGCGTCAGAAATCGGTCAAATCAGTTGGAAAATATTTGCTTATTTTTGAAAAATCGAATGTCGTGGACTCCTATGATAAAGTCCACACAGGACATTCTGTAAAGATGATTTATTTTCTCCTTAAAAATGCTAGCTTTGTGAATAAACATGTATCATAGGATATGTTTTTTGACAGCTGTCGCTGGAGGTTTAAGCAGAAGTCCATATTGTTCTTGAGGCTGAGTTGAGTAGTATCTACGTCTTTCCTGCTCAAAACGATTAATTTCATTTTCAGATTTCCTATGAAGTACTTGCAGACGTTCACTCAAGTACGCACTTCATACACCGTCGTCTTTATCTGTTTTTCTACCTTCTTGTCTCTAAAGGACCTTGAAAAGCTCTGTTAAATGGACTGATCTTTTCTGAGGTCTTCTATTGACGTCTACCAGGTTCTCTCTCTTGAGAGTCTTTAAACCCAATTACTCTGCTTTTAATGATCTGATTAACTACAAATATACCAGTTAATTAAGTCATTAATGTCTGCACTGCGGCGCTGCTGATGGATGTCTTGCAGTGCAAAAGTTTAAATATATTTTATATTAAAAATCCACTGAATATCTTAGTATCTAGGCTCAACCGGTAATACTAAGACAAATAATTAATACAATATAATAAAGTGGAAACATCAGCACATGTGTAGCTTTGCATGGTTGATAAAGGACTAAACCTCATGATTTAAAAGCATACTCAGCCATGTGTAAATGCTGCTAAAATACAGAAATGTTCAACATAGATAGGTCAACTCAACATTATTGTATTTGTCTTGCCATTTTCTTATCAAGAACAGGAAGTACGAATTAAATGAGTCCAAGCCCCGAAGAGCGACTTAAAGCCGGATTATTCACGGCTGGTTGAACGGAGGAGCATCTGTCCTGCAGCTCAATCTGCAGATTATTACGTTATTTAAATATAATAACCACCATGTACTTTTTATTCATGTATTTTTTCTTTTAGTGTTTCCTTTATTATCTTTTCTTTTTAATGATTAATGCCTTTGTCTGAATGTCTTTCATTTTTGTAAAGCACCTTGAATTGCCTTGTGTTGAAAGGTGCTATATAAATAAACTTGCCTTGCCTTGCCATATTGTCACATTCATGCCGGTACACCATGTCTTGTTTTAACTTTGTGAGTGCTTTTTATATAATAGTGTCCTGGCATTTTGATTTAATGTTATTCTTGTGCAAGAACAGCAAAAAACATGAACTATTCTGTGGTTTGGTGTTCAGGTTGTTCAGGTTAAATGTCATTTAAAAGTCAAATGTAGTTCAGTCTATATCAAAATGCAAATGGTGCATTCCTTTATTGACTTTTCATATATAAAGAGACCATGAAGCATCTAAAATGATGTTTGCTAAACTGTTAAAACTCTATCTTAAAGAAGAGAGAACCTGCATATTGATAAAAATTAAACATTGAATAATTAAGCGCTGATGGTGATGATGGCTTCGTCAGTTGATGAGTCACTTTGACAGGTAATTAGTTGTTGTTTATTCTTCTGCCTGCAGCCCCGATGGCAGTGAACTGACTTTGATTGACAGCTTGTCTCGGGCCCACTCAGAATACATTGCTCTCTTTGTTTTAATAATGATAGCTATCCAGCAAAATGACGGGGTGGTCATTTA